CCAAGAGGACCAGCTGCAAAGTGAGGGGAACTTAGCACCAAGAGACTGAATTATGCTGACAGAATTAATCATGAGGAGAAATTGGAAGAGATTGGACAGAAGTGGATTTTCTATCAGGGAACCATGCAGAGAGGTCTTGAGCAAGGCAGTGATGCAGTGAAGAGGTGTGGCCAGGCCTGCTGGCTCTGCTGTCCATATTCTCCTCTTTGACATACAGACTGACGACATGTCCACACCCCCTTGCCATTGTATATGGCCACTTGACTGAGCTCTAGCCAGTAGAATGTGGGCTGCAATGCCTGACATTTTTGGGTCTGGTTCCTAAAGACCACCATTTTGTTCCTCCATATGTTTTCCTCCTCCTGGATGGCTAGTATGAAGATGACCATAGTGACCATGGAAGCCACATATTAAAGATGCAGAACCTCTTTCAGCCTGAATCCCTGGATGGTTATGTGGAGGAGAGCTGGCCTGTAATGTTCTTCCACCTGGGACTATTACGTGGGCAAGAAACGAATACCCATTGTGTTGAACCATTACACATTTGGTTCTATCTGTTGCTGCAGCTTCCATGTCCCTAGCAAATATACGAGGCCTGCACCCATAATTTCCCCAAAAAATCCATTGTGCTCCCATGAAGGTATAGAGAATCCTAGAGACCTGGGTTCAGTTCACTGCTGTACCAGAAAAGTAATTTGACTTATTTGGTCCTTTTCTAGATTCATTTAAAGTGAGCTCTATGCGTTGAATCAGCTAATAAATTATTTTGTGTCCTTAAGCTATTTAGAGTTGTTTCTATCCCATGCTATCAAAAAAGGCCTACCACTATCCTTGCAAAAGTAATAGAGTGGTACCCCAAAAAGTTCAGCACAGAAGGTTGAATAGTTTGGAACAACAGAATCCCAGATGGTATTTGGGTATCTCAGACTCAGGTGCTTAGGAGACTAAGTGGGTATGCCTGAACAGTGATCTTCCCTCAATCAATTAACTGAGTCCTGCTATCTACTCATCTGTGGGAAGACCTCGGAGGGAATCCATTATCTACATTGTGTGGGCATAATCCGTATATGGGTTTTGAAGACAGTTTTGAAGTCTGATCTGTGTTCAAACCCTGCCTCTGACATTCTATAGTGTGGAAGGGAGCTTAGCATTCCAACCTCAGCTTCCCTGTCTGAAAATGTAGCAGGAGAGCCTGCTGCTAGAGTTGAGGTGAGGATCTCGAGGTAATCATGTATGTCAAGTTCCTAGCACAAGTAAGGAGGAAACCCTTAACATCAGCCTTTGCAATTTCAAACACTTACAGAGAAATGGAAGAAGAGGAAGGAAATGATTAAAGGATGGGAAATGGCTGGAACAAAGCTTTAAGGAGTGTCCTGCCGGGAGTTTCCGGCAAGCCTTCTGTGCCTTGTTAGAGTGCACTGAATGGCTCACCTCAAACATGGCTCTAATCATATCAGGCCCCGCTGGAAACCCTCTGATGGCCGCTGCTGACAAGATAAAAGCCAAAAGCCTTCACCTGGCACTTACAGCCCCTACAGATGAGCCTCATTCATCCAGCTGGCTTCTGCAGTCCATTCTAGGTGCCTGACATACCACAGCAGATCACAGACGGGCCCCTAGGTCTGTGGGTGCCACATTCCTGGATAAGCCCTGAGCTATGTGTGTTAGAAGTGAATCTAACATAATTAGGACTATAAAATCAGCCTCCCCTCAGTGTAGTATCTAGAGGGTTCCAGTAACTTTCACCATTTGCTTCTTCTCTACTTACCTGATAGGTGGAATTATAAATCCTAAGTACTATTTGTCTCCATTTGGCCAAAAGCCACACCACTCCCTATCAATGACCATATGACCCAGCTCCTACTTTGTCATATGAATGGTGGAGAGAGTTGGGTTTAGTTCACTCTTCAGTGAGAACAAGAAACTCAGCATATTTCTAAAGTCTTATTAATATTGAGGCACCATAAAGCTTTATTTTTATCCTATTTTATTTTTTTAATTTGTTTAATGTTTATTTATTTTTGAGAGAGAGGGAGTGAGTGCGAGTGGGGAAGGGGCAGAGAGAGAGAGGGAGACACAGAATCTGAAGCAGACTCTGGCTTTGAGCTGTCAGCCCAGAAGCCGATGTGGGGCTCAAACTCAGGAACCGTGAGATCATGACCTGAGCTGAAGTCAGACGCTTAACTGACTGAGCCACCCAGGCACCCCAATTTTTTATCCTATCTTAAATTTATGTTTATTTTGACAAGTAATATCTGGGTACATTCTCACTGAAAAAATTTCAAACAATTTGGAAAAAGAAAGTTCGCCACAACTTTTTTCAACCCATCAATTATCAGTCAAGTTCCAGTTTCTTCCTCAGAGGTAGACCTTTGTTAGCTTAATGAGTATTCCTCCTAGACATTTTTCAGACATATATCTATGTGCAGGGAGGCAGGGAGGAGATGAGGAATGTATAATGCATGTAGACTTGAGGGTTTTTTTTAGAGATTGGTACAATTTTGTGTCCTGTTCCCCATCTTTTCTTTTTCATTAATAGCATGTGCTGTCCAGTTTTTCATGTCAGAACACTACAAGTAACATAATATTCTAACTGTGTGTAGTATTTTACAATATGGATGTACCATAATTGGTTTGGCTTAGAGGATCATAAATTTGGAGTCCCCATCAGCTACATCCAGACTACATATGTGCTTTGTTTGGCCAGAACCATAGCTACCCTGTTTTAAATTAAATCCAGTGGATTCAGGTAGAGTAGGCAATCTCTGATTTCCACACAGGCCCCACCATTCCCTATTATCTTACAGGCAGCCCACTTTATACATTTTGATTACTTCCCTGACCCCTGCAGGCATTTGAGTATTCAAACTCAGTGTTTTAGTCATTCTTTCATTTGTGGATGTTTAAAATTTTTTAGAAATGTATTGTTATCTTGAACAATGCTGCAATCAATAGCCATATCGATGCCTCCCTCTATATATTTACCTAAGGTAGATGTAAGAATTGGATTTGCACAAAATCAGGAGACACACAGGTTAGGAGACACACACTAAAATTATAAAGTGGAGAAAATCCAGGTCAGCTGAGAACTGTGTGGTCCAAGTGCTCCGTGAAGCATGGAGAGAGGCATACTGCTTAAGACCTGTAGCTGCTAAATATCATGCTCCCCTTTCATATTCCCACTGGTTTTTAGCAGGGAAATGCATGTCTCTGCAGGTATACACACACATACACGCACACGCGCGCGCTCGCGCGCGCGCACACACACACACACACACACACACACACACGAGATTGTGTAGCATCCAGAGCATCTGTGGCCACTTGCTTGGGAATCAGCTCTTCTCCCAGCCCCAGTTCTGAAAGGGCTCCAGAGCAGAGGCCAGGAGCAGAGAGGCTCTGAGCTCTGACATTGATTACACCTTGGAGCGTTTCTCCAGGCCTGGCCCCTGGATTCATGGTTTGGCAAGCTTCAGGCCGTGGCTAATGGACTCTCTTGGCTGAGGTCATTTGAAGGCTGGCCTCCCATTTAGGAGGCTAATGATGCGTGAAGCTGCCCACTGGGCAGCAAGTAGCTCTGTCTGAGCTACTTCTGGGCCTAATGTTTAGATGAGGGCTAGACTTTATACCTTGAGGTGAGCATGGGAGAGGTGCTGCTGGGAGCTGGGCCAGTATGAGCTACAGGGACTGGTCAGCTAATTTAGGAAGACATATATTCCTAAGCATTTTGTTGGAGTCACAACTGTGAGCTAGTATTGATCAGTATCTTAGTGTGGGCTGCCATAACAAAATACCATAGCCTGGGTGGATTAAACAAAAGAAAAATTTATTTCTCACAGTTCTGGAGACTGGAAGTCCAAGGTCAAGGTACCAGCAGAGTTGGTGTCTGGTGAAGGCTGTCTCCTTGGGTTACAAATGGCCTCCTCCTTTTTCTGTCCTCATATAGCTTTTCCTTAGTACATACAGGTGGAAAGAGAGAGGAAGGAAAGGGAAGCCAGCTCTTGGTGTCTCTTCTGATAAAGATACTAATGCCATCAAGAGGACCCAACCCTCGTGACCTCATCTAAATTGAATTACCACCCAAAGACCCCATCCCCAACTATCATCACATAGGGGGGTTAGAGCTTCATGAGTTTTAGAGTGACATAATTTGGACCATAGCTGTCTGGTAAGAAAATATGGTTGAGTTTGGTCAAGTCAACCTTGGATATGAGATAGAAAGTTTCAAGATAGAAAGCAGAAAAAAAAAATCCTGTGTGCCCCTGGAGAGGAGACCCTTATAGGCTTATATGAACAATGGTGGGTGGTGTCGGAATCAAATCCTTTGGTAGAGAATGGGCTGTGGGTAGGACCCTGAAAGTCCATATGATGTTATCTTGGGTTTTAATTTAATTTCCCCTACTTAATAACATTCTGGGCTTGGAAAAATTAACTTTTTAAAAATCTCATGTTATCATCTATGAAATGGGAATAATAAAAGTTGTCCTGGAGATTAAATGAGTCGGACAATAAATGTGAAGTTGGCACAATGCTTTAGTTTACAATATTTTGAGGCATTTTGAAAACAGAAAACTATATTTGCTGTAGTTTGTAGTTTTACTTTCCCATAGCACCGATTTGAAACTTTAAGCAAAAACAAAACAAAACAAAAAAACCCTCAAAAATGTCTTCAATGCCTTTGCCTTTTCAATGTGCATTTAATCATTATCAGTGCACGGGCATTGCACACAGTCCTCCCCCTTTTTTTTTCTGGCAAGATGGTTATAATGTGTTGAAAATATTAATTATCTTCTTCACCTTATACACAGGACTGGAAAAACAAATCTTGTTGCTGTGCTTGGTAGAAGAAAAAGTCCCTTTGTGTGTGTGTGTGTGTGTCGCACTCATTGTCCCCTTGGGTCATAACAAATTATTGATGCCAGTTCCTTTAAAAAGACAATTAATCCAATTACCTTCTTGTTGAATCAATACTAATGTCTTTTTTTTTCTTTAACTTTCAGGTTTCGACAAGCCTGGCTGCCAGCAAAGCTGAGGTAGGAAATGTGGTTTTGCTATCTCTTTGGAGGACATTTTGATGTGGTTTTCTTCTGTGATGCAGTGAAATAGGTATCCTAGCTGTGATCTGCTCTGTGCAGTCTCCTGTTTGTTTGGATGGGGTGTTGTTAATTGGCTAGTTTCCGTGGTGCTGTGTTTGGGGTTGAAGAGGTATGCGCTGAGTAGTCCTGTAAAGGTGGTTTGTGGTTTCAAAGTCAGGTGTCCTGTTTGATTCTGTCTTGGTGACTTCAGAGTCTGTCTGTATGTACACATTATGATTCCATCTCCATTAAGATAAGCCCTTGCTTTGGCAGCGAGACCTCCTTCTGTCTCTGTGCTCTTCTCCCATTTCCTCTCTCCTCTTTCTCTCCCTACTCATCCTCTGAGGCACCAAGGGAACTGTGGCTGGTGCTGGTAAGTGATAAAAAAAGATACTGGTCAGAGGTCACCAGCAAGATGACCATCATTGGGACTTGTATGTGATGTCATTTAATGAGTATCTCCAAAATATATCCAGTGCCACAGGGCACTCAGGCTCCTAATCCCAAGTTATTGTGTGGGTAAAACAAGAAACATTGACCTCAGCTCAGGAGCCTGGGTTCTTTGTGGCCTTGTGCATCACTGTAACTTCTGAGACTCACCCTCCTGGTGTGCCCAATGAGGATAATAACATCTCCTTTGGATCCATAACTTGGGTGTGGAGGCAGATTCTGTCATGGTTCTACAAAATGTAAGGGGAGACCATTGTCAAATAGTGGAAGCCCCAGGTGAATATCTGCATCCTTGGATGCAATAGTTTGGTGTGCAAAAGTTTTCCAGGAACTGATGTGCATTGGTGGTGTAAATGTTACTTTGGATGCCTAGTGAGGCAGATATTTGGGAAGCAGATCATTTGGAGGGTAATGGAGTGGGAAACAAAAGGAAGGGGTGGAGGTAAGGAGCCACTAGTATCACCTGCTTTCCATGATCTTGTGACCAATGACTCAAGCCAGTCATTTACCTCCCCAAACTTAGTTTCCTTGTTTTCAGAATGAGAATGATAATACACATCACATGAGGTTTTTGAGAGCATTAAAATGGCATTGGCAGTGTTTACTCTTTTAGTCTGCTGTAACTAGAAATCTACTTTTTGTGTATTCAGCATGAATATATGTAAGGCTTTACACATATCATCTTATAAAATCCTTATGAAATCTTGTGATGTACACACTATTATAATCTTTATTTTACAGAGGATTAAATGCAGTCTCAGAAAACACAGTAGCTTTCCCAGTCATTCAACTAGTGAGTGATAGAGCCAGGATTCAAGGTGGGGTACAAAGTATTGGCTCTTAACTGCCATGCTATGTGTCTTTGTTCAGGCTGCTGTAACGTGATCACATAGAATGGGTGGTTTAAACAGCAGGAACTAATTTCTCACAGTTATGAAGGTTGGGAAATCCAAGGTCAAAGTGCTGGCAGATCTGATGTTTGGTGAGGATGCTCTTCCTGGTTTGCAAGATAGCCACCTACTGGTTGTATCCTTGTGTGGCCAGAGAGCAGAGAGAGGAAGCAAGCTCTTCTGTCTCTTCTTAGAAGGGCACTAATCCCATTCATAAGGGCTTCACCCTTATGATCTGATCACTCACAAAGGCCCCACCTCCTAATACCATTGCACTGGAGGTTAGGATTTTAACCTATGAATTTTGGGAGGACACAAACATAAAATTCCCCAACACTACATAAACCTGGCGCATAGTGGGTGTTCAGTAAATGTTAGCAATGTCAATCCTTAAGGGCCAGTCCTGCTTTCTAGATCATACCCGAATGCCTGTCCAGCCTCTCTGGTCAGCACCACGGACAGCTGCCTGGTTCTTGTGACCTTCCGTCTTGCATTCCCTTAAAGGGTCTCACATTTGTGTCCCATTTGGCGATTTAAAACAAACAACAATAAAAACACCTTTACATATGTTATCCTTTTTCAATTTCACAGAAATGGCATATGGGAAGATATTGTTCCTGCCATTTTCAGATTTAAAAATGAAGTTTTAATGATCTGGTAATTCCATGCCTACTTGTGTGCCCAAGAGAAATGAATGCTTATGCCCAGCAAAAAATGTCCACAGGAATTTTATCATAGCCAAAAACTGTAAACAAACCACATGTCCATTAATAGGACAATAGATAAATAAACTGTGGTATATCCATGCAATGAGTACAAGACAGCAATGAAAAAGAATTTTTATATATCCATGAAACAGCAATCTCAGAAACATGTTGAGTGAAAAAAATGAGAATGACAGATTACACTGTGATTTTATTAACATGCATTTAAAACCAGCACTCCTCTCTGGTGATAAAAGTTAACAATAGTAGTTACCTCTTGGAGGTGCTGACTGAGCAGAGGCTCAAGAGAAGTTCTTGGGATGATGGAGATACTCATCACCATTACCTGGATGTGGTTACACAGGTAACCAGCACATGTAGAATTTATAGAGCGCCATGTTAAAATTATGCACTTTATAGTATGAAAGTTGTATACCAAGAGGAGGAGGAAGAGGAGGAGAAAGGAAAGGAAAGAAAATACAAACATTAAAAATATAAAACAGGATAATGAAAAAAAAAAGGATGATCAGGTGGAAAAGGTGGGATAAAAGTGTAGGAATGCTCAACATATAGACAAAACTGTAGATCAAAAAAAGCCGAAATTCACTCACTCATCCCTTGCTTCCTTCCTTCATTTTTGCTCCAGATTCTATTTCCCAGATGGAACAGGTTTTAAAAAACACACGATACTTTTTCTTTCTCCTAACCATTGTTTCTAAGACTAAATTGTAATTGCTGTAACCTGATCATATTTTTTGCACTGCTGCAGGGAGGTAACCTTTTATTAATTGAATTTCTAATGGCAATTCATCAAAGCGAGCGATCACCGTTATTTAATGCATGATCCATATTCATGGCATGTTCTGTTAGGTAAATAATAGTGGCTCTGGGAAGGTGCTTCTGTGAGGTCTTTTCCTTCTCAAATGACTTTCTTTTTTCCTAAGTACAAACAGTTGTAATTTAAGCAGAACAAACCCCACCTGTGGAGGAGTCATTGGTTAAAGGGAGACAAGAAGAATTACAAACCCACAGAATCAGTGAGAATGAATGGCTTTGCCAGTTCCCTTTCTCTCTGCAGATTGACAGTGAATATGTGAATAACGTTTGCTAAATCTGGACTTTGAAAACATGACAGCAAGCTGTTTGTGCCAATAATTTTTCATGGCATATGCCACCCCTCCCCGCACCACACACAGTTTTAATAAGATGGCACATGGACTATTGAGAAATGTTAAAACCCTGCAGAGGAAAGAGCTTTATCTTCTGACCAAATTCTGCCCAGCAATGTTTATGACAGCTGAAGAATTTATCTTAAATTCCCTCTGCTAGCCGCAAAGCACATGGCCCTTTGTCTCTGAGCAGCCTGTAAGAACCAAACTAAGATGTCACATACATAATATAACAGATAAATGGCCCAATTTCCATGTCCACATGATGAATGGAATGCAAGTTCAGCACACACATATTTGCACATTAATTGGCCCTGCATGGTTCCATTTTGTTCCTAAGTTGCTACTGTATGTCTCGTGGTCTCCTTCCCCTTCAGAATCATTAAGCTTGTTTTATCGCACAAATGCATACACATTTCCCCCCTATTTATCGTCACGCAGCTTGCCCTGCTGAGAGAGAACCAAGTAACCTGGGCATAGCCATCGGATTGCAAATGCCTACATCTGAGTTCTCTCCACCACCAACTGCACATTAACACAAAGATCTGAGACCCAGCCCCACAGTTGGTTATGCTGACAGGCAAACAAAGGAGGTTGCAAGCGAGGATGTTTGGAAAAAAAATCATTTCTATTCAGTTAGCAGTTGGTTTCTTGCCTCACCTTAATGATTTCCTGTTGATAGTTTAATGGCAATATAAACCTAGTGGAGGGCCTCAATTTTGATAAATTGGCCTGCTCCTATTTCATGGCAAAGGAACCGGACTGAGATTGATTGATATTATAGTTTTGCCATCCCAAATAATTGCAGTGGCCAACAGTGCAGGTGGTAAAGCCCAGGGGCCTTCAGGAAACGTAGGTAGAACCTCCCTCCCACTAATCCTTTTTTCCTTCCAGAAGGAAACTTTATCCCAGGCCAAGGAATCATTTATTTCTCCTGTCTCAACCCTGAGTCTCAGGGCTTCAGAGCCCTGTAAGCGCTCTGGCCCGTGTGGGGATAAACCAGTACTTCTGAGTTTCTTTGTGGGCAAAAGATCAATCCTGGCCATTTCAGGTCACCTGAGAAGCCAGAATATTTTATAAAGAAAAGCTGAGCTATTGCATGGACAAGGTTACAGTGCAAAGAACGCGAGCGTTGAAGTCTCTTCGATGATGTATGAATCATGAGTCCACATCTTACAAGTCAGGTGCCTATGGGCAAGTCACTTGCCTGCCAAATAAGTTTCTCATCATTAAATTGGGGAAAATTAAACCACCCCAAAGGTTGGTTTGAATTTTAGAGCTTGATAATCTATATGCATTGCCTAAGATAGTACCTGTCACAAAATAAATATTCAGCATTTATTATTTTATTTCCTCACACAACTCCTGTCTTTTATCTATTGTATAAAGCAAGACAGTGTATAAATAAGCTCATTCAAAATTTACTTTGAGACCTGTAACTTTGAAAACTTGCTGTGAAGGTTTTGTACCATGGCTGACCCAGACCCTAGCCAGGCAGAAGTTTAGTTACATGGCTTAATTCATATTAGAGTTCATGGCTCCTTTCTCTCTACCAAAAACAAGATCCACTTGAAGATTAGCAACTTTCCAATGGGCACTCTTGGCCTTGTCTGATTTTACCTAATTACACTTTGATAGTCCTCCCTGTCCTTGAAGCCAGCTTAAAACAATATTTTACAGAACCTTAACAATCACCTGGCTTTAATTCAAGGGCCTAGAATTCTCAGTTGGAGATATTGTTGGCA